AACCTGAAGTTTCCTTTTTGTAAGTATATAATATTAAAAACACGGTTGTATAATTTTAATCAAAAACATTTTCATTTTTATCGAAAAGTAATCACCGAGTATAGGCCAAGTTTTTAATCGATTTTAAGAATTCGGCGACGTAAAGCAAAAGAAACTTTTTCGCGATGGAAAACTAAACGATCAAAATATAAATATATAAGTATATAATATACTACTTTGTACACTGGCCACTAGGCATACTATATTTATATAAAGAGATTGTTAAAAGTAAAGTAAAGTACCTACATTAAATTAGAATATTCAAAGTCATTGGTTACGGACGAAAATCGATATGTAGAGAAAGTGTGTGCAAAATGTATAAATAACAACAAAAAAAAAAAAAAAAATGAATTAAAATAAAAATCGAATTGAATATTGAAGTAGTAGGAAAAGATAAAAAGAAATGAAAAATTAAATTGTTTGAAATAACTGATCGCATTTGGTAGACGACGCGACGCCCGACTCCCGGTGGTGACGGGAGTGAAATAATAATAATAATAATAATAATAATCTTGTCTTGCGAATTATATAGTAATGCGAAAAAAAAGGTTTAATATTATTATGCACCGAATATAGTGAGGAAAAGAAATATATATAAGTACTGTGTAACACAACTATTAGTATACTTTGTATATAGTTTAAGTTGGATGAACATTTCTTAGCGATCGTCAAATCGGATTACCTGCAGAAACGTCGTGCAAATGCCAACGATTTTTGCGCACGTACGAGACGGCAGGCCGGCTATTATAATATACGCGTGACGTTCGCATCCGCGAGGTGTTATCGAAATGTTCCTCTCCAAAATCCAAATTACCAAAACTATTTTGCAAAATTAGTTATTTAAATTCACAAATCGTTTCGACAATGCTAAGACAGTTCGACAATATTGTATATAAATAATATACGGTGTGTTGGTGGTGGGTACTTCGCGGTAGACTACGCGAGCACGACGACCGCATTATGATAATACTTGCAAATAATATATTACAAGCAGGTATATAGGTATATATCGACGGGCCGCGGCTGAGGAAAACGTGCGCACGTCATTTTTGCGATTTTCGTGTCGAATATCCAATTTGCATACACTTTCGAGAAAAATGTCGGAGAAACTCGACGGGTATAAAAGAGAGCGCCTCTCACCCCCATAATATTATATGATTAGGTGCGTATTATTATTATTTATTTATTATTATTATTATTATTTTTTTTATTATTATTACATATTTTGCAGTACTTTCGCGGCTATCGGAGCGGGTGTGTATAGGTACTACAACAACAAAATTACGTCGTCCTTCGGCACGAAAGCCGGCCGCGCGCGTTTATTTCGTTATTGCTGTAATTATTATCGGTAAAATCGCATTATCGGAACGATAATGAAAACGCGCCGGTAATCGAATTTAAACAACGTCGTCGTCGACGAGTTTTTATTCGTAGCGTCGGCCGATGGTCCTCTGACGAGATGGCTGTAACGAGCACATGGCACACACACACGCGCAAACAAACACACACACACACACACACACACACACACACACACACACACACACACACACACATACACGCAGTATATATATCCAGTGTGTGTTTGTGTTTTATTACCGAACGTGGAGTAAACGCTATTGCAAGTTTAAAATTCAATTTATCGAATTAAAAAAAAAAAAAGGAAACTGGTGCCTATTGTACGCCTTTTGTAGTTTCGTACGAAGAAATAAATAAGGACCTCGAAGAAGTGAGTACCCACTAGGTGAAGCGCGGAACACCTAACCTTACGAGCATATTTTTCTCCGTTCTTCGGGGATTATATTATTATTACAATATGTATTACTGAAGCAAATTACCCAACTATCATTGCATACGTCGTATAGATCATGACTAAAAAATAGGTATGAACACAAAAAAAACCTGTAGTTTTCGTCTGGTTTGGCGCATCCCCGCACTATTTTACACACAAAACCATTGGTCGTAGGTCACAGCAATTCATTAGGAATGTCAATAGAATATTATATAGAAGCGGAGAACTACGCCATATAGACGAGGTAAAGGTGGTGTGCACATCACAAAGTTGTGATCATACCTGTTTGTTTAGTCATGATATTATAGATTACCTACTGCCTACTATATAATAGGAATTAGTAAATACCTATATTAATGTTTGGCGTTGATTAAAATAATTAGTTCTATTTTATAATGTATAGCTGTATCATTGTATCAATAATAAGTTATGTATCAGAAGCGTAGCCAAGAAGAGTTGGGGGAGAGGGGGTATGGGGACAATAGCCTCTCACACGATGAGCCATGATTTTTATATTCTGTTTCTGTATAATTTATTGCAATTTTTATATAAATATTAAATTCTGCGTTCTCTAAGTTGAGTGCAAACAATCACATTTATTTTATCATATTATTGTTATCTACGTAGTACATTTATGAAGGTATCCGTACAAAATGGAGAAAGTAATAATAGCAATGTAATAATAGCAAAAGTAATAATCGTAAAGTAAAAAGACCGAAAACTAAAGTAGCAAAGTAATAATCGCGAAATCCAAAGCAACGGTGGATAAATGAAAAGCTGAAAAAGAAGTATAAAGATAATTAAAATATTACTTAGGTACCTAATAACTAATAAGTAATAACTTTTACTACTCAAATATTAATATACATTTTCTTAAAGGTGTGTAGGTCGTAGGTAAAGCCTTTTTATAAGTTGACTCTCAATATAACTCATGTACTAGCTATCACCTAAATATATAATTTAATGCTTATTAAAATATCAAATTTGTTTTATTAAATTTAAAAAGATAGTTAAAGTTTTTAAATTAATAACTATGATTTTTATAGGAAAATATTTGCTTTGTATTTCGCTCTTTTTATCTCACTATTATTACTTTCAGTATTTTAGCATCGAACCATTTCCAAATAATCTGCAACTTAAATGTAGGTAAATGTTGACCAAAGACCAAGGATTATAGTCAATATTATTATATTATTATTTTGTTATATAACTTATTATAGTATTGTAGTATTAAAGATTCAAGATGAAATTTCACTATTGATGAAGACACCGATGAGCGGCCCCAGAACCACCAATCCAACTACGTGAGGAAAGATGTCTTTGGAAATATTAAGAAAATTTTTGCTTCAACAGAAAAATAAGGAAAACACCATAAGTGCTTTGAAGGTCTATTCAGACCAAAGATCAATTCAAATTAATAAACAAAATTAAATACTTTTTGTTTCCAAAAATTATATAAATATTTTTTATATTATATATTACATATACAATTATCTTATATATTTTATTGTATTATATAACATATTTAGTATTTACTATTACATTGCTTATGAAAATATTTTTATCGATGAATAAGAATTGAAAAGTGAAAACTACCAACAAATTATTACTTATGTGTTTTTTTTATCCCGGCACATAATGTAGCATTTCGTTGATATAGATTTAGTAATAAACTAATTCAATAATTTAAATATGAACTCGTCTGTTATTTCTTATTGTATATTTTAATAATACATTGGTACATATATATATATATAGGTGTATTTGTAGTTAGTACATATTAATTTATCCAACGTCGTTAAAATGGGTCATAAAAATGTAAGTGACTTTATGATAATTATTTTTTTTTAATTTTCAGGTAAAAACTTGAGGAATCTTGTATTACATTTTGAAGTCTTATGTATTAAAATTAAAAATGATAGGAATTTTTAATAACAAAATTTACAAGTTTTCAAGATTTTTTTGCTCACAAAGAATATGTTATCATACATACCTAAATGAAAAAAAATAACTGAAAAAAATGTCATATGTTTTTAATTACCTGCTAGTTAATATAAAAAGATCAAAAATATTTTGAAATTTATAAAGACTTATAAATTCATGTCTGCAAATTTATTCATTTTTGAATTACAATAAAATCGATTTTGTTGTAATCTGGTTTTGCGTAAAAATTCACGTTTATCTATATTTTTTTTGTTCTTCCCGATAGTTTTTAAAAGTACTGATCCTCAAAACTAGATCCGATTTTCCACCAAAAACCAACATCAGAGTGAAGATTGAGGCATTTTTCATGTTTCAAAAGGTGGTGATAAACTGACAAAAAACACACACACGCTCACACACACACATGATTGTAAAATCGGTACATTCATCGCTCAGCTCCGAATCAAATATTAACTCAAGTCAAATTATCAAATTATAAATAACCAATATACTATTAATATTAAAACATACATTTTACTATTTTAATACAATTACCTTGGTCTGTTATGAGTGTTATGGGACTGAAAATTGTCATAAGTTCGGTCTCGATTTAGAACAGGTATTTATATTAAAAGTAGGTAGGAAAACTTAACTTTCACTAGATGTTTCTAGATAAAATTCATATGAGTACATATTTTGCTTTGTGAAGTCATTATTTACATATGCTTATCAAACTTTATCCATTAATGGAAATTATTTTATTGAATCTGCAGTTATAACCACTTCACTTGTCTCCAACATCAAAGTCGTTGATTACGTAACTGGTAAAACTATTTATCTCACTGTACCTACCATATCGTAAGAATATAATTTGAAAACATTGTAAAAAGTAAAAATATGTATGAACCGAGTATGAGTAAAAATGCCAATATCGAAAGTTTATTTTAAAATGCTTTATGATGACGGAAGAGAAGATAACATATATTTTAGAAGTGTCTGCTCATGCAACAGTTGTAATACTTACTATAAAGTAAATACTGTAGTCCGGATATTCAAATGAAGTATTGAAAAATTACGTGAAATGAAAAATATAAGTTTAAATAAGTTATGATAAAATTATGCGTACTGATTACTCAACGCGGTCAAATATAGGTATAAAAAAAACCACACAACAAATTGAACTTTCATAGTGAATATTACCTATAATATCGTGTTTTTATAATAATATAATGCAATTAATACATACCAGCAGACAAACTTTCGGTGTTACCTGAAAATAGAAAAAAAACTATTAAATAGGTAGCATAGGTAATAAATAATAATTATAATAATAGTTGTATAAGTCGTGTTTCTAAATATATTAAAATACTTTTACTAGCTATAAAGGCACTGATTTTTCAGAAATAAAATAAAATAAAATAAAAATTAAGTATAAAATATAAATCATTATCATAATAAACTTTTGATATTATATTGCATTTTAATTTTAAAGTATATGGCTGAAGTTTGCACAAACCTAATACGCATATTGCGTGGGAATTTGATTTTTGTTTATAAAGGTAAGAAAATATCCCAACTATCTTAACTGATCGACGAGTTGTTATTTAAAACTACAAAAGCGTAGTTATAAAAAAAAGTTATGTAGAGATGACCGAATCCATGAATACTAATAAACGCAAGAGGGTGGCCACTTTCAAATTATTTTCATACGTTTCCCAGCAGAAGAAATAACTGCAAAATCCTCTGGATTCTTTCTCGTTCGTCCTTCAAAGTATTTAACAAATAGTTTCGGAACGGAACCGTATTTGTTATCCTAACGAGAACAATGAACTGCTCCTACTTTAGTCATCATCATCACTAAGTAACATTTTATTTTGATTCTGTCAGCCTCCGGGCTTTTTATTATTAATACTAAAAATAATAATAATAATAATAGCAATAATAAACAATTTCATCAGTTTGACGTTGGAAAATACACGAGTCGCACCTCTCAAAACTTTTCAAATATTTCATTAGATCTCCTTCGCACGAGCTCTAACTGGTCGATTCCAAACGACTCGTTTATCTGACGGTTTCATATACAACAAATGTATAGTTTTTACCCTTGCGAAGTTAAAAAATAAGGGTGATGACATCCCTCCCTAGGATAATATATTAACATGTAACTAACCATTGTCATCGTCGGTTCTCTCGTCACTGAGTACTGACACACATACACACACAAGGTCCAAGATACTTTATTACGTGGAGGTTATTGGTGGATTTACTATCATATATGTAATAATATGTGTATAGGTACCTGCAAATATTCAGTGGAATCTAATTTTGCAAAGCACTAGCATCTCAACATAGTGTAACTTTAAGTGAAAGGTGTTGTGACTTTGGGGGTAATAGGTAGATTAGGTTAACCTCTATATGTACTTAAAAGTTTTAAGATTTTTATAAAATTACCAAATATAATTAATTTACAAAATATGTGTTTCCATTTTGTACATTTCAAAGGGACATTATCTTATAATTTACAAACAACTGCAAGACCATAATTTCTCATTATTTATAAGTTAATAAATAATAATTAGTAATAACTCTTGTCTTTTAAGTTAATTATAATATAATGTAACATAATAATTGATTTATGTCCAAAGAGCTATTTTGAATAACTGTTTAGTTATTATTAGTTTTCTTATATAAAGTTAAACGTTGTGGGATCACTGTTTTGAACAGACCTTTCAGCCAAAAGCTAAATTCGTAGCTGAAACACACACACACACACTCACCGCCTGTCAGGATCATGTTGACGGTGGACCCGTCGAACATCGTTTATAAAAATCGTTACCGTTTTTAAAACCAGACGGCGATCCAACCCGCTTGCCCGGTGACAAGTGTCGAGAAGATATCACAACAGTAAATCCCCCTCGCCATGTCAGTCGTCAGTCGTCAAGGTCCACGACAGCGTCAAAAAGTAAACACGAACGCTGCACCATGATCATTAATAGTATTTTTATAATCAATAATATACTAATGGACACCGAACCGCAGAACCGAAGTAGTACTTTATTGTATGTATTGGCTAGGATATATTATAATATAATTATAGGAACGACGGTACGATTATAATAATAAAAGTTAAAAGCAAAAGCTACGATGACGTTGTCGGATCTGACGGTTTCGCCCCTATATCTGCGGATGAGAGGAACACAGTCTATACAACATCCCACTCATCCCAGGATAGTATGAAAACAAAACTAACTTTCCATATTATTATCAAAACATTAATAATATTCATTAAATATTAATAGCAATATTAAATAATGTACATTTCTGTTGATGTTAACATACTACTTTATTCTAATAAACCTAAATTAATAAAAATGGAATACATTTAGGTACTGTAAACTTAGATAAATATCAAATTTTAAACTCATACAACTATAATTAAAAAATATTTTTTAAAGTAAAATAAGCCATTAACATTTTTAAAATGGACCGTTGTTTTTTAATTTAAAAATCAGTTTACATATTTTATAAAGTATTCACTATACAAAAAAAATTAATGGTCAAAATTTATCGTACGGAATTTACTTCCCTAGGTAGTACAACTCCACAGTTCATACAGTTTAGTGTTTGCTATATGAGTTGAATCCATAAAAAGTTTGCTGCTATAATATAGTACCTACCTTCGTTATAATAATCATTTGTTATTGATAAATTATTACATTACTTAATTTTTTTAGATTCTGATATCTAAGCAATTATTAATGTACTTATTGATTTTGCAATGATGTGTGTTTTTTTGTACACGATTTAATGTAGAAAATTGCCTCAATCTCCAACTTTGAGGGTAGTTTCTGAAGGAAAATTGTATCAAGTTGGACTTTAGGTAGATCAATGTTGAAAATTCTCAGTACTTTTCCAAATTTTAAGAAAACAAAAAAAAATCAGCTAAAACCCAGCATCTTGACGCAAAGTATTAAGTAGTATTCGACAAAATTAAGTTTGTTATTTTGTTTAATTTTCAAAATATTTAGATTAATTTCAAGATATTGCATATTTATACATATCTTTTTTTTTTTTTTTTTTTTTTTTTCATTGATCATTAAGCCCGGCAACTATGGCCATTAGCTGTTTTTTTTTTTTTTGTTTGTTTGTTTGTTTGGTTTGTAGGGGAGGGAACTGTTGGTTTGTAAACACGTGTGTTTGTGGTGGCAGAATTTTTATTGGGGCACCCGTAGGTTTCTGCCATGCCCCGGAGTGGGGGGATGGCGGCACTTGTTTTCCGGACACCGTGACTTGCCCGGAAAAAAATGCCGCCCGGTGGTCGAGAATCGAACCCGCGACTGCCAGCGCCGCGGCCGACGCGTTAGACCGCTCGGCCACCTCGTCCCCCCATACATATCTTATTACTTATAGTACCTATAATAAATCACTTTAATAATAATATAAATATACCATAAAATAACTTAACCTAATGTAATATATAGGCGACAATGCGTCTCTATTAGAATCCTACTCAATGATGAGATATACTGAACACCAACACCTAATGTACATCATAGTGATTACCTACTTTCTCCCTTTTTAATTTTACAAATAACTTAATTATACATAATACATAATTTATATTTTATTATGCTTAGAAAAAATATTGTTAGTCATTCAAATTATAATAAATTCTTAACTGTATGGACCGAAATAGTAAAATATCCAAGTATGCTTTGTATAAACTATAAATTATATAAAAATATACGACTGCCAAATATTGAACGAGTATCTATGGATAATCTACTCGACGAAAACTATCTGTAGGTACATCCCAGTACCCTACATTTCTATGCCTAAAAACCTGCACAGTTTGAAATAATGGAGTCTTACATTATTTATTATATAAAATTAGTTTCTTAATTTTACAAATTACAATAATAAATTGTGCGTCGTTGTCTGTTGTAACGATGCAGAATTTCTATTATAATTAAATATAACGGAATATGTGTCGCCATCTATACACGCGCCAACACGCGAACCCAAACTATTAAACACGCGCCGCCGTAACGATAGGAATACCTACTTATGCTACCAACTTGTCACTGTAACGACTTATTCAAGCACATTGAACGATATAAGTTAAAGCTATACAACGCTCTTAACACGCCAAGCATATAAAGAAGTACCAAAGAAGTTGAATTAAGAAGAAAACACGTATTACATCCAGAAAACCGATGACGCAATGACGCCGCATAGAGTGCGCGCCGTTACGCAGGTTTTCCGACCGTCAACACTTCTAGCGACTTTATGGAAAACCACCACGACAGCCCGTAAAACTGTTACAACCATCATCTTCCCCAGAAGATTACACCCTAATTACATGTAGCCGCCCATAGGGTAGAGAGTATACAACATACAGAAATACAATGAAAGCAACTACCTACTTTCACCTATACAACACACCGCCCGTAGTGCAAACAGGGCATAAATATGAGCCAGCACGGTCAATGGAAACACACAGTTCACTCAACTCACTCAGTTCACCAGTTTTACAGTTTCAACACATCAAATCGCCCGCCGTTTCAACTTACTGCCTTTCTTAGTGTGTAACTTCAAACCGCCTTCTCCCGCAAAGCCCTCTCCCTATACTCGCAGTGTGAGTGGTGGTACGCCTCAAAACGTACTGTTCAAGCCACTCACACTTAACAGTAGACGGAGAGGAAGATTCCCCCAACACTCTCGCTAGGTATCGGTGGTGGTACGCCTCAAAACGTACTGTTCAAGCCCCCGGTACCCAGTTGCAGTAGTCGTTGTTTGTCCCCGTTGCCGCCGCCGCCACGACGAGCGCGCCGCCACGACCGGTAGACTCGATTTACCGTCCCATCGCGTGTTACGATCGTCGCTACGCCGAGCGCCGTTATCACGCCGCGTGTCGTATTGTTATCGCCGCCGCCACACAGAGCGCGCCGCTGTGATCTCGTATCAGTCCGTTGCCGTATCACCGTTGTTGTTGTCGTCGTTCACGTATCGCAGACGTATTGACGGTACGCACGACAACCAACGCATGATACCAAAGTGATACATATCAATATCATCAACCACGTTGGAACCAGTCGAAGAGAGTGCAGTACCTATACCTGAGGACGAGTCAAGCCACCGCCCGGGAACATTTTTGTATCGTTGTCATCCAGCACCACCGATAGAGTAGGCTGCCATTGGACACAACATACACGTATTCTATCTCTTGCTTTCACGGTCCACGTGAGTCTTTAAATATTGTAATTTATC